GTGAACCAGCGGCAAAAGGAAGACCTTTCTCTCTCTGTCTCTCTCTCTCACTGTCCACTCTGCCTGTAAAAAAAAAAAAAAATATTAAGGGAGATTAGCTTAAGTTAAAAAAAATTAACATCAAATAATGTGCCAGGGTCTTATGTGTTAAGCAACTCATAAAATTGATCTCTCTTAACTCGTAGTAAGAAAAGGAAAACAGGGGCCAGTAGTGTGGCATAGAGGGTAAAGAAACCACACACAGTGCCGGCATTCCATATGGGCACTGATTTGAGTCCTGGCTGCTCCACTTTCGATCCCGCTCTCTGCTATCGCCTGGACAAGCAGTAGAAGATGGCCCAAGTTCTTGGGCCCCTGCTGCGGATTGGCACAGCTCCAGCCGTTGCAGCCAACTGGGGAGTGAACCAGAGGACAGAAGACAGTCTCTTTCTCTTTCTGCCTCTCCTTCTCTGTGTAACTCTTTCAAATCATTAAATAAATCTTTTTTTAAAAAAAAGAAAACGAATCATTTCAGGATTGTTTGCAGCTTTAGGCTACAGAGCACCCTACACTATACAAATCTGATTTAATAATAAATAGGATTGAACACAGAATCAAAACAAGCCTCCTAGAAGAGAGCTTATTAACCCAATCATATATACTGAGAACAAATAACATTACCTTCCTGAAATTTTTTTTAAAAGATTTTATTTATTTATTTGAGAGGGGTGGAGTTACAGACAGTGAGGGGGAGAGACAGAGAGAAAGGACTTCCTTCCATTGGTTCACTCCCCAAATAGCTGCAACGGCCGGAGCTGCACTGCTCCACACCAGGAGCCAGGATCTTCTTCCTGGTCTCCCACGCAGGTGCAGGGGCCCAAGCACTTGAGCCATCTTCTACTGCTTTCCCAGGCCACAGCAGAGAGCTGGATTGGAAGTGGAGCAGTCAAGACTAGAACCAGTGCCCATATGGGATGCCGGCGCTACAGCAGAAGATTAACCTACTGAGCCATGGCGCTGGCCCCATATTCTTTCATTTATTGTTTGAGAGACATCCCCAAGTGCCCACAATGGCAAAGGCCAAAGCTGAGAGCTGGGAACTCAATCCAGGTGTCCCACATGGACAGCAGGAACCCAATCTCTTGAGCCATCACTGCTGCTTTTCAGGGTCTGCACTAGCAGGAAACAGATCAGGACAAGGACGGGAACCCAGGCATTGGAATGTGGGACGTGAGCGTTTATTGCTAGGCTGTACGCTGACTCCCTTCCTAAAGTTTTTATCTGTTAAGGATGAGAAATATATCTTTGAAGTCTCTCACTGCTTCTATAACAGTTTTCAAAGACATTCAAGAATGTCTTTGCAGTGTAAGACCATGTAGACAACCACTAATATAGATTATATTTAATCAACATAAAAATCTCACTGGAATTATAAGCAGTTAGTCTTCATTATTTTTAATTAACTGAGAACCTACTGTATGCACTATTCCAGGGTGATACAGCAGTAATAAGATCCCTGCCCTCAAGAAGCTTACATTCTAGTTAAAACAACATAGAAAAATGTCATTACTGTGGTCAAAGAACACAGCAATCTTTTTGGCAGTCATTTCTTGTGACACTACCGTGTTTAGCCCTCCTTCCCAAAGCTCTGTCTTTTCCCTGTGCCACGGTTAAGCTGCAGATTTACACCTGGTGCAGAACCTTATCACTCTAGGTTTTACATGCATCAGTGTGTCTGATTCCTCCTATGTTTCAACTAACTGAGATCTCTGAGGATGCTGACCCTAATATCTGACAAACTGGCTATCACTTCTGGCTCTCTGTTACCTGCCAGTTGAAGTCTACTACAAATGCACAGGCCTGGGCCATGAGCACTGTCATATAGCACCCTGTGGAAGCAGGGCTCTATACTAACTAGTGCCACAAGCACAGCTGCTCCACCACTTGGGAATCCCACACAGGGTAGCACTGGCCCCACAGGCCTCTCTCTCCTGGAGAATCAAGGCAGAGCAGATCTATTTCTTAACTGCCTAATTATCCTCACCAAAAGGAAAAACACCCTCTGCTAACCTCAGCATTCCTGGCCAGTCAGCTCTCTTGGCTTCCTCACACCCTTACAGGCTGGTGCCACTCTGCTGTATTTTCTCTACCTACCCCTCTCTGCAGCCAAAGCAGCTACTGCCCACTTTCTACCACGTAAGGAGTCTTTGCAAAAGAATTACATTTCTGGGGCTGGCACTGAGCAGCAGGTTAAGCCACTGCTTTATGATACCACCGTCCTATATCAGAGTGCCACTTCGAGTTCCAGCTGCTCTGCTTCTGATTCAGCTCCCTTTTAACATGCCTGGAAAAGCGGCAAAAGACAGCTGGAGTGCTTGGACCCTTGCCACCCATGTGAGAGACCCGGATAGAATTCCAAGGCTTCTGGTTTCAGCCTGGCCAAGCCCTGTCTGTTGCCAGCAATTGGGGAGTGAACCAGTAGATGAAGATGCCTTTCTCTCTGTGTGCTTCTCCCCACTTCTTCTCTGTTACTCTTTCAAATAAATAAATCTTAAAGGAAAAAAAATTGTACTTCTGAGTTTCTGACTCTACAGCGTTCAGAGAATTATGCCACAGTATTGTGCTACCTTCTGAATTTCTAGAAACCTTATCTTCCTAAGTTTTCCACAATGTTCAATCTAATCCTCAAAGGCTCTATACAATACCAATAAGCTCTTCCCACTATACCTTGTTGACTTAATTTCCCCATCACTCCCTAGTTCACACCCAAACTCCAATATATTCTCAGTCCTAGTCAGTTCTTCTTATACAAGTTGTACGTTCATCACAGAACATCTCCATGTGCTTTTTATTTCAAACATCAGTTCACAGCAAGTCACTCTCAGGGGTCTCCTGCTCACAGGGGCAGGGCAGGGCTACGGAGACACTCATCAAGTGCTTCAGACAACCAGAAGGGGAGGGACCAGAGTGCTTGGGGGAGAGTGGAAAGCAGTAGCTCGAGCAGGTGACATCCAAGCTGAGTCTTCAAGAAAAAAAGCCTGTGAGTTAGGACTGCCAAGACAGAGAGAGGGAAGAAGCATCATGGGTCCTAAGCTGCTGTAGAAAAATGCAGGGGAAGAGTAAAGAGAGAACTGGGGCCGGCGCCGCGGCTCACTAGGCTAATCCTCCGCCTGCAGCCCTGGCACCCCAGGTTCTAGTCCCGGTTGGGGCACTGGTTCTGTCCCGGTTGCTTCTCTTCCAGTCCAGTCTCTGCTGTGGCCCAGAAAGGCAGTGGAGGATGGCCCAAGTGCTTGGGCCCTGCACCTGCATGGGAGACCAGGAGGAAGCATCTGGCTCCTGGCATCGGATTGGCGCAGCACCGGCCGTGGCGGCCATTTGGGGGGTGAACCAATGGAAGGAAGACCTTTCTCTGTCTCTCTCTCACTGTCTAACTCTGCCTGTCAAAAAGAGAGAGAGAGAGAGAGAACCGGAGGCTAGACTACCACAGGCCTATACAGGACACCGAGCAGCGGATCTAATCACCAGGCAGTGACAGAAAGGAAGGAGCAGTGGAAATGAGCTCATACTACAACCACACTAAGTCGGTTGACTTTTTCTCTTAAAATGGCGGCCTAAGCATTCAGATCTGGCTAAAACGCCCATGAGAGTTTCTCAGGAATGGCAAGCCAAGACAGTCTGGCAAAAAAATGACCTAAATGAAAGACCTCTTGGTGAGATCCCAATGGAAAGAACGGGCCATCAAAGAAGGAGGTACCTTTCTCTGAAGGGAGGAGAGAACTTACTCTTTGACTATGGCCTTGTCTAAATAAGATCGGAGTTTGTGAACTCAAGAGGCTTCCATAGCCTTGGCAGCTCATGACAAGAGCCTTGGGTGATTACTGATGCCATAAACAAGAGTGTCAATTGTTAAATCAACAACAGGAGTCATTGTGCACTTATTCCCCATGTAGGATCTCTGTCCTTAATGTGTTGTACTATGCGAATTAAAGATAAAACTACTATTCAAACAGTACTCTATACTTTGTGTGGGTGCAATCTGTTGAAATTTTTACTTAGTAAATACTAAGTTGATCTTCTGTATATAAAAATAATTAAAAATGAATCTTAATGAAGAATGGGAAGGGAGAGGAAGTGGGAGATGGGGTGGTTTGCGGGTGGGAGGGTGATTATGGGGGAAAAACCGCTATAATCCAAAAGTTGTACTTTCGCAATTTATATTTATTAAATAAAAGTTTTCTAAAAAAGTTTATAAACAAGAGTGAATATGATAGCTAAGTAAGTTCATAATCATGTTCTAAGATTCACCTCCTGTATTTTTGTTCTGGCTGTATAACCATTATGGTGTAGAAAACAAGAATATTTTATTCTTGTTCTGATATGTCCTACTAATGCATGTTTATGGAATAAAATTGCCATGGTTATTTAAAAAAAAAAAAGGCAGGCTAAGAATTGTGTGAAAGAAGCTTACATAGGAGAAAAATGTATTCTTTCATTAGAACACAACAGAGGAAATGGCATTGTAACCTGCCTACATTACCAGCATCCCATATGGGCACCAGTTTAAGTCCCGGCTGCTCCACTTCCATTTCTCCCTGCTATTGTGCCTGGGAAAGCAGCAGAAGATGGTCCAAGTGAGACCCAGAAGAAGCTCCTGGCTCCTGGCTTTGGCCTGACCCAGCTCTGGCCGTTGTGGCCATCTGGGGAATGAAGCAGCAGATAGAATACCACTCGCTCTCTGTCTCTCCCTCTTCTCTCTCTCTGTAACTCTGGCTTTCAAATAAATAAATCTAAAAAAAAAAAAATAACAAACAGAACACAGCAGAAACAAATGTATTTCTGCCAGCTCTGCAAAGTTACACATCTTATTTCCTAAGATTAACTGTGAGTCAATTATAAGTCATAACAGGAGAAAACAAGGGTAAAATGTCTTAAATTATTTTAAAAACTAGATATGAACATTGCAGGATTTTATATGAAAAATGAGTGCACTTTTCTAACTAGCTCTGAATATGTATAATTACCAATCTGGATGTTGGCAATAGATTCAGTCTGACGATCACAGAGTGGACTCACACCCAAATGATACTTTTTTTCTATATCTCCTACAAATTGAAAAACAGATAGAATTATTCATATGGAACACATCTATTAGTTAAATATATATTTAAAATCTTCATCATACCTGTAAATTCCTTAGGAAGAACATATTTAATTCTGAGAGAATGGCTTCTCAATTAGTTCTTTAAATAACTTTAAACCCACTCACACATAGAAAAGGTTACCATGGTGACATCTTTATTTAAATGGAGGAAGTAGAAAACTTCACCAGGTATTGCCCAAGACCATAATTCTGTCAGCATTTTAATATAAAACTTAGGATGTTTAGAAGGAAGGTACTTGAAACAAAGACCCTTGGATCTGGATTTAAATTCATATGGCCTTGCCCTCTACACGTGACAAGGATGTAGTAAGTTCAGAGAAATCTTTCTATACAATAATTTCCAGCTTGATTTGGAGTGTGTGTGTGTGTATCTTCCTTCCAAAGAGGACTACTAATTTTTAAAACAGATGCTTAATTTATATATTATCAGCTACATGTGCATTACTAAATTGTCACCAAAAATACCAAACACCTACTGACACACTCTCATAAATGGTTATTTTATGCAAATGATACTAAAAAATGAGCTGAATAGTTTAGTTATCACTCAGTACCGTACTTGCCTTGATGGAAGAATTCTTCTGTTACTTTCTCACTCCACTGCTTGCTTAATTCCCAGGTCCGACATGGGTTACAGATATCAGCACATTTCAAAGCCATCTAGCAACAAAAATATTAAAATTGTGTTAAGAGAAAAAGGCAAAACCTTAATTGTACTAAGTTTAATAAATATGAGTATACTCCAATGGCAGGAGAAATAACACTTTAAGAAAATATTGCAACAGATTCATTTTTTATATTAAGTGCCTGATGCTACTAGATCTACCAACTGTGTTTACATTAATGCTGACCATGAAGCTGTAACACTGCAAACCTAATTATACATGCTTGATAACACCAAGAAAACAAGCAAAGGACTGTATTAACCACAAGATATGAATAAATAAACCAGAAATAAATAATCCAATTCTTTTCCCTACTTTTTTGATGTAAAAATTTGTTAGAATATTATATCACTGATTTACAGAAATTGTGTTTTCATCAGAAATCCTGAGCATGAAAAATGCAAAAGCAATGGTGCCTTTGTAGGTAAAGATTCACAAATGATCTTCTGAAAACTTAGTGTACTAAATTCCTCAGCTTTCCCTAAGGATGTAGCCACTCTGAAAAAACCATGCTCCAGAATATTTTATTTTGGGGGCTGGCTCCGTGGCAAAGTAGGTTAAGTCTCCATCTGCAGTCCTGGCATCCCATATGGGTGCTGGTTCGAGTTCCGGATGCTCTACTTCCAATCCAGCTCCCTGCTAATGGCCTGGGAAAGTAGCTGAAGATGGCCCAAGTCCTTGGGCCCCTGTACCCACGTGGGGGACCTGGAAGAGGCTCCAGGCTCCTTCCTTCAGATCGGCCCAGCTCTGGCTGTTGCAGCCATTTGGAAGTGAACCAGCAGAACTTTTTCTCTGTCTCTTCCTCTCTCTGTCTGTGACTCTGCTTCTCAAATGAATAAATAATCTTTTTTTTAAAAGAATATTTAATTTTTATTGTAGTAGCCACTGGATTTACCCAAGAAATACAGGTTTTGCAAGCCCCTGTTTACCTGTAAGACCAAATGCCTATGTCTGGTGTCTTCCAGGCATAAGTCACCTCTATCCAAATGGGACCTAAACAACGACAGATACTCATTCTGGCGACTGATGTCGGTGGCTAGTATCAGAGCACCTATCTGAGTCTCCATTTGTTGCCTGGAGTTGGGGAAATACAAAGAGAAAATATAAGACTTTAAATTAAATAGTTACTTGACTCTGGTTTGTTTAGACTTAATATTTGGAAACTTTATAAAACTGTGTGTTATCCTAACTGCCATTCGAGTTAAAATTTAATTCTAAAGAATGCATCCCAAAAAACTATTAAAATAATCAAAATTAAAACCAAGAAAGTTTGTAGGGAAACATCAATATGCTAACATTCCATAAAAGTTGTCTTTAGTTTATCAGCCAAAATGGAATTATTTGCTTAAAAAAATCAATATAACTTTGGTTTGGCGTTTGAGAAAATTCTTTTCAGGAAAATTCTTGTGTTGAGGGTAAACAACTTTGCTTTCTGTTTTGGGTGCCTGAGAGTTAAGGGCAGAAGATTCAAACAGTCCACTGAACCAGGTCTCTATGGATATCTTGCTGAAATGCCTGACGGAATCCTTTGGGGATCCCACCAAGGATATGATGTGGTTCAGATTCAACTATGTTTTCAGGGTCAAATCAAGAAACCAATTATCTGTATATTAATATCCAAATTTTCTAGAAGGAAAAAAGTAACATGTTAATAAAAATAGCAAATACATGATACAATTTTTTCAAACTGTCTCAAGTCAACTAAGAGAAATGCATTCTTAAAAAAGTTCTGCCTTTTGTTTTAACAGGTTGTAGCAAATGTTATCTTTGCAGGATGACCAGTAAAGTGATGTCAGATGAAAACTCTCACAGTATTGAATAGAAAACAAAACAAACCCTAAAAGAAGAAAACATGAAAGAATGCTGTTAGGTAGCCCTCCTTATTTTCAGTTGTAATTGAAATCTGAGAATTCAACAGGGTTAATCATTAAATGCAAAACATGATGAAAAGGGAATAATGAAACAGGCATTTTAATCTGTCGTAATAAAAAAAAATTCCATGATCTGTATATACAAATTCTATATGGTTTAAGCAATCTTTGTATTTGTACTACAGCAAGAAATGATTTCACTTACCAGAAGTATTGTCATACTCCAAATGGTAACCATGAATAAAGATTTAAAAAAATATAAAATAAAGTCCAGCTTTTTCCTTATAGCCATTACAAAAACACTTATTTTTTTATAAAGCTGTTTTAAATTATGAAAGGGAAAAGGAAAGAAAAATGAGTATAATTCAAATTTTAATATCCAAACATATTTTTATGCCTCACCATTTTTCTCGACTTGGATGGTTTACATGTCTTTTCGACGTTCTCTAAAGTGCATTTTCTTTCTCTCAGTGTGCCCTAGTAAAGGCTTTGGTTTGTGGGTCACATTACAGCAGTGGTATGAGATTTTATTCACTACCATCATATTGGGCTTATTTGTAATAACACTTTTTGTTAGGCTCTTAAATATCCTGATTAACTATTTTTTCTAAAATATTAGTGCTTTCTATTGTTCTTTCCATTCATTATTTAGCTCCAGAAGTGACTCCATAACTATACCACTGAGAAGATAAGTCATACTGTTTGTTATCAGCCTGAAAGCTTCCTGAAACAGATTTTAAAGACTCTAAATCATAGAATGTTTACTTTCTATTCAATTTAATTTTGCAACTAGTCCTTAAGGTTTTATTCAGCTGAACACTAAGTGGAAATATGTGGTACTTGTAGCACTCTATGGTTGAGTCATTTTGTATTTATAGTGAATTTTATTGTATTCAAATCCATGGATGGTCTTTCATAAAAGTGAATATTCACTACAATATTACTAACTGTACTATAGAACTAACTTAACTAAATTTTTGATCTAAATTTTTAAAAAAAGATAATTTTTTCCAATAAGTTTAACAAAAAGTGAAAACTGCAGAACCCTTGAACACAACAGTTTTATTTTTAGCACTTTATAAAATTAGTTTGCTAACTTAATTTCCATAGTTGTTAAGTTGGTCTTAATGCAACCTACCTGCTTTCTAACGGCATATGTGAGAATAATCCGGATTCTCTCAACAAGCCCACTGCAGATCTCCAGTGGTGATTTTCCAGGACTGAGGTATTCTACAAAAAAGTATGTCTGTTAACTACTTAATGACAAATATAGTTCTGAACATGAAGAATTATTTGTCAGTACTACTGATCTGGTTACAATGCTCATATCATGGAGAATTTGTTTCCATTACTTTTATTCCTTTGATACATGACACATTTCTCTAGAATCAGAAAAGTATTGAGTGACAAAACTGCACTGACCTTGTACAAAGTTGCCAAGTAATGGTTTGTTTTAATAAGGAAAGGTTGATTGACACCTGGATGGTCCAGATCATGAGTGGCAGCTGCAATTAAGCTCAGCAAGATATCCCAGGGGGTTACAGAATTGGCAAGCTGAAGTGTGACAAAAGAATAATTAATCACAAACATGTCTGAAACAAACTACACCAGTGCAGCCGCTGCGAAGCAGCAGCCAGCGGCAATGACAGTCTCCTCCCCTTTTGTCCAGGCAGATTGGTCAGGACCACCACCCAGTGCCTCTGCTAGGTGCTGGTCTCATTGCGACACTGGGGCGGGGTGTGATACCACAGTGTCCCTGCTCACATGGAGTTTATAGAGCTCATCTTTCTACTGCTTCATCGTTAATGAGCCTAACTAGAATTGTAGCTAAAGTATAAATCGTTCTTTTGGTGGGAATAAAGGCTTTAAAAAGAAAAACACAGGGGCCAGTGTCATGGCATGTTAAGCCACTGCTTGTGACACTAGCATCCTGTATTAGAGAACTAGTCCCAGTCCTGGTTTCCTGGTTGCTCTGCTTCCGATCCATTCCCTGATAAGGCACCTGGGAAGGTAGCGGAGCACCTGCCACCTTGGATGGAGTTCTGGGCTCTTAGCTTTGGCCTGGACCAGCCCTGGCCAGTGCAGCCATTTGGGGAGTGAACCAGTGGATGGAAGACCTTTCTCTCTGTCTCTCCCTTTCTCTGTAACTGCCTTTTTTTTTTTGACAGGCAGAGTGGATAGTGAGAGAGAGAGAGACAGAGAGAAAGGTCTTCCTTTTTGCCGTTGGTTCACCCTCCAATGGCCGCCACGGATGGTGTGCTGCGGCCGGCACACCGCGCTGATCCGAAGGCAGGAGCCAGGTGCTTCTCCTGGTCTCCCATGGGGTGCAGGGCCCAAGCACTTGGGCCATCCTCCACTGCCTTCCCGGGCCACAGCAGAGAGCTGGCCTGGAAGAGGGGCAACCGGGACAGAATCCGGCGCCCCGACCGGGACTAGAACCTGGTGTGCCGGCACCGCAGGCGGAGGATTAGCCTATTGAGCCGCGAAACTGGCCATAAGTGCCTTTTAAATAAAAAAAAATAAGTATTAAAAAAGAAAAATGATGCTCTCAGTTCTTTATTGAGATGCCCACCTGGCATATCAAGTATACTCTCTTCATTAAACTTTGCGGCCTTACTTACCACTTAAAAAAAATTATTTGGGGGCTGGTGGTGTGGTGTTGCAGGTTAGGCTGCCACCTACAATGCCAGCATCCCATATGGGCACTGCTTCATGTCCTGGTCTTCCACTTCCAATCCAGGTCCCTGCTAATGGCCTGGGAAAGCAGCTGAATGTGGCCAAGTGTTTGGACCCCTGCACCCATGTGGGAGACCTGGAAGATCTTTTGCTTCTGGTTTCAGCCTGGCCCAGCGCTGGCCATTGTGGCCATCTGGGGAGTGAACCAAAAGACAGAAGATCCATCTCTCCCTCTCTCTCAGCCTTTTAAATAAACACACACTTTTTTTTTAAAGTGTATAATAAAATCTTTTCCTAGTGGATGGATATGTTCAGAATGATATACATAATATGTGCATGTCAGAAAAACACAACCTTTTAAGACAGGAATTATTATATTTTGCTCTCAGTAATCGTCATCAAACATATCTGACACAGCAAACTATTAGAGTAAACAAAAGTTTATTATTAGCTTGGAATTTTCAATGATCAGAAAATGATCACCTTGAGTAGATCACTGCTTCTGATGAACTGCCGCTCATTTTCTGGCAAACTTCTCCTCCTCTCACAAGGCCCAATCCTGCTCTCATCAGCCCCCTCCCTACCAAGGACAAACTGTTTCTACTGCACTTGACACACCCGCCACCACGGCACCCAGCGAAGCAATGTTACCTACAGACTGTGCTACTGAACTAACATATATTTCATATTGTAAAATGATTATGAAAATTGAAAAACTTACCACTGTGAGATAAAAAATAAATTTACATTCAAGTTCTACTATTTTCTTTCTATATCGGAATGGATCTTTTTCTATCCCCTGTGTTAAGCGCATCTCAGTCAGAAAAATCACTGAGGGCTGGAATCTCCTGGGAAATTGTAAGCTGGTTGAAGGTAAAGAATGTCTAGGATGTATTTTTGTATTATGTATACATATGTGGGCACACGTATGCTTGGCTGATGAACATGTAATTTACTAAGCAATGTGCAAAATACTATATTATCGTAACTACAACAGAGAACTAAAATTCACCAAAGAAACATCATCCAGAGAGAATACAGTAATCCAGAATTGAACTTATTTAAAAATTTAATGTATGACTACGTATGGCATCAAACAATCTCAGGGATCTTAAAGAGTTAACCCATAAAAATAGGAAGAACAAACGAATTATTGAATTTCTATGAGGAGGGATGGCCTGGCAGTTAAGCTACTGCTTGGGATGCCAAATTCCTGGATTTGAGTCCCAGCTCAGCTCCTGCTAATAGACACCCTAAGAGACAGCAGCCCTGGCTCAAGTGGTTGGGCCCCTGCCACTCACATGGGAGACACAGAATGAGTTCTCAGCTTCTACCCAATGGGAGCTCTTTGTGTGTGTGTGTGTGTGTGTACTTATCAAATCAAATTTTTTTAAAAAAACAAAGTTCTGTAAAGGGATAAGCTTGGAAACAAACGACATATGCAAAAAAGGAAAGTTCAACTCAAAAAATGTAGCATTTTATAAAATGTCTTTCATCAGAAAGAAAAGTTTACTAGTATTATAACAAAGACAAGGAATTCAATAACATTAATATAACTTTATAGAGTACATTTTGAAAAAGATAAATGTTATTTCCATTCTGCAACATAGTTGGCAATGAAAGTTGGAGAAGAAACTGCAAATCATATAATGTACATGAAAGTCAGATTTCACATGACTCTGTAAAACTATCAGCAGAGTCCTTTTCTAACAAAACAGAAACTGATTACATGGCTAATTTTCCTTTGCTCAACAAAAAACCTATTTGTTTCATTGCTTGCTAGACTTGCTACTGTAATGGTTATTACATGTGTCTAATTCATTTGAAACAAGATGTCAATCAATTTCAAAATAATTTTAGAGGCAATGATGTGGAGAAACACAGGGAAAGGTAAACCCAAAAGTGAAATTAAAATTCAAACACATACCTGGGAAAATATTTTGTAGGAAATGACTAGTGCCTAGACAGACTGAGATAAAGAAAGAAGAAATACAAAGGAAAAAAAACTAAGTTCAAAATAAAAAATACATATATCTAATAGCAGAAAAGAGCTAACTGAAATCCTGATGCCTTGCTGAGGGTAATAATTAAAGTGGTTTGATCACTGAGAAGAGTATTTCAAAGTACCCAGATGCTTGATATATTATGTCAGCCTGGAGAGCCTACTAAAGGAAAGATCCCTCACTCAGGAAGCAAAAAGCAAACTGAGGGCTTATACAGTAGTAGCTGTAATAGTAAAATCAGGAACAATCTAGAAGTGTGAAAACAGAGAATCATTATACTTAAAGAAAACCTACTCAATTTTAAAGATTACAGCCATAGAGCAACATCCATTCATTAATGTAATTCATTTACTGAGCACCTACCTCGTGCTGGTATTATTCTAGGAGATGGTGTACATTTGTGGGCAGACAGACAAAATCACCTGCTGGGGGTATGGTTGGGGATTTGGGTTCACTGTCTTGTGGTGTCCACATTAGTTTCCACCATGTTCCACAACTAAGATTTCAGAGTTCAACATTCACGTCTTACACTTTGTCATCAACAACTAGCAGGCATGCAACCTGTCTTACATGCAGTGCAGGATGGGGCAGGGAATGGTACCGCAAGACTGAGAGAGGTTCAGCATCAGAGCAGATGTCTCTCTGCAACATGTGCAAGTGGTTTTTATCCAGGCCTAGTCTGAGTAGAGTTTCTGATTAAGTATGCAATTAATTTAAACTTATACAAACACGAGATTAAACATTAAAATGAGAAAAAAGGGGAAATAACAACTTCCTTCTCGGCTCACAACTATGAATGTTATCATTGTGTCAATAAATAAATGAGATATTAGGCTCAACTGTGAAAAATGCTTTCTAATCCAAGTTCAGCCTTAAGGACACAAAGCATAAACATTGAAATTTAGAGATGATGCATGTACAGAGAGAAGGGTCAGTTCCTTGAATTTCCAGTAATTTCTTGGGCCTGGAATATTTCTTTTTTCACTTAGAGAAAGAGCCAAATATTCAGCTCTTCATATAAATCATAAGCTGTAAACAAATTTCTCAGTAAATACAGCAGTATGTTAGAAAATGTAAAATCATGAAAAAACTATGTGTGGATTTCAAACCTTTTTTTTGCACCAAGATTGACTTTTTAAATTCCATTTCTTCAGTGAGTCTTTTGAAGTACCTTTGAACATGCAGGAAGTCTCTCTGAATAGACTTAGGCCTTTCACAACTCTCTCTGCGCCTGGAGTGTTCTATGGTTGACTCTGAGTTTCAGCGGAAAAGCTTCCAACCACTGAGAACTCTTGCCATACACCTGGTCACTCTCCAGCACACTACTCTGCTTTGGTTTCTTCATAGCAGTGATTACTGCAGAGAATGTCAAAATCCTACTCGTCCATGTCTTCAACGACTACGCTCCCACTCCCCAGGACATAAGCCTCACGGAGCCACCGCGTGCCCAGCACCAGTAGAGTGCCTGGCATGTAGCAGATGCTCGGTGAGCAGGCACTGAATTAATGAGTACAAACACTCAGGAATACGATGCTATGTCACGGCCTGGGAAGTAAAAGAGTCGGTCTTACAGCTTCAACGTTTTTAGAACTCACTTTTAAAATGCCGACTTTTAAATGTAAACTACGATGAGGGGGAAGGGAGTTGGGCACTCAGTGTTCACGATGAGAGATGTTTGAGGTAAGCATGGACAGAGCTACACAGGCACAGAGTGTCTAAGATCACATTTGCACTCATTTCTGTCCATGTCTCCCCACCACGCTCACTGGCTCCACCCCAATTTCCTCACCCCTGGCTTCAGCTGGGTGCAGAGGTCGGGGCAGCGTCTCTGTCCAGTTTAACCCTCCTCCACACCTCAGAGAATTTATCTCTGTAGTTCCATTTGCCAGACTGCTTGGTGATTAATTTGAGTACATGGGAATATACATTTGCCAAAATTAAATACAAAAAAATAAACCCAATATATTTTAATACTGCATCAAAGTTATACCATGATAAAGTTGATTAAAAAAAAAAAAAGTCATGATACATACACCTCAAATGTGCGCCGGCAGACATGGCTTTCATTGGCACGAGCAGCCCATGTTTCCTAAATCATATCTCAACTCTGATTTCCTTCCCCTACCTCAGGTTCTTTTATCCATCTCTCTCTCAGACATCTCTACCTGGATATCACACAAATCCATTCCACGCCACATGGCCAGATGGAGCCGCACATCTCTGCACATACCCCCCGCCCTCGCCGAAGACGTCTACCTTCTGCTCTACTGCCCAAACCAGGACACAGTGGCTCCTCTATTTCCTTCCCCGAGATGCATACAAACACACACCCAGTTCATTCCAGTCCCCAAGAGATGTTACAAATGACCCACTTCTCTCTTTCCACAAGGCCACCAGGCCCTCTCCCAGGGAGCAGTGAGTGAGTTCCTGGCAGGTATCCATGCTTTCTGACCTTGCTTACTTTATTTTCACGGCACAGCAAGGCTAATCTCCTGAAGCCTCCCACTTTCCTCCCATAGCCCCTTCCCTGCCCTGGCTCTAAGTGTCAGATGCCGTCACACCACATGCAAGGTCTTGAGCGATCAGGGCCTTCGTCAGGCTTCTCCTGCCTCTCTCTCGACCATCGCCCAGATTTCCCGGTTGCTGCACTGACAAATACAGCCACTTCAGAAACTCGGTCAAGTTGGACCTCATTCTTATGAAGGAAGACTCTGATTTTGAGTCCAGCCACTAACTTAGAGGACTCTTCGTATGATTTTTCACCTAAAACAAACATCAGCCACTTACCTTCGGTTCTTTTAAGTAACAGTGCATGGCCTGAGTAACATCTGCAGCATGGACTGCATTGTGGTAAGGGTTTTGACTGTGATAATCCTCTTGAATCATAACTGCATCAGAGAAAAGATCTCAGTTTTAATGTAAGTGGGAGCATGTAAGAGCACAAATTTGTCATAATTACAAGTGACCCATTCATATTTTTTGCTATCCCCATAACTGTCTGGATTCAGAGAGATGATAATCATCTCCCGATCATATGTACAGTAGTAACCCATCACTTAACGGCAGGGACACATTCTGGGAAACGTGTCATTAGGCAGTTTCCTTACTGTGCATACATCATCCATACTGAGATGGCTGCAGCATCACTGGGCCATACAATCTTAGGGGACCATCATCATATATGGGGTCCATCCTTGACTGAAATGCAGTTATGCAGTGCATGACCATATACCCAAAGAAATGACATCAAACTGAAACCTAACTCATTTGGAAATATATCCATGTGACACTTGTAAAGTAGGTTATTTATTTTTTCTTTATGTCTTTTATATTGTCAATCTATCATGTCAAACTCCACCAACTCCTTTTAGTTTAAAAAACACTTCCACAGTTAAATACATTGGTGCAATTCAGGCAACAAATACTGTGCCTGGTACTGTTCTCAGTACTGGAAATTCAGCAGAAAACAGAAGCTATCAACCATCTTTGTGAAGGTAACAGCAGATATTGGAGTATATAAAGGTAATACTATTGGCGTGTCACCAGTGAGATATAAATTCTGGATGTGGAATCAGTTTTTCAATAGAAGGAATGGGTTTTCCGTTAATCCTACCTTCTTGCACAGTGGCTGGTATGCAGTCATGAAAGAGCAGACTAGGGTAGGGATGCAGCTAGACTTCCCTGCCACCAAGCCTGCTCTATGGCTCCAACAGCATACCACAGCAATGCAAAGCAAAGCTATTCTACTAGAACATGGTAAATACAACCCACTGGTGATGGGGAACGAGCATTAGGATTCTGCATATACCTTGATCATATCCTTTAAAATAACTTTTTAAGAGATGAGTATTTAATCTAGTCATCAAGACATCTACATCCTATTATCATAGTACCTGGGTTTGATTCCTGGCTCCAGCTCCTAACTCTAGGTTCCTGTTAATGCAGATCCTGGGAGTCAGCAATGGTAGCTTAAGTAACTGGGTTCCTGCCACCCACTTGGGAGATCTAAATTGAGTTCCCAGCTCCAGGTGTTGTGGCCATTCGGGGAGTGAACCAGAGGATAGAAGACCTCTCTCTCTGTCTCTCCCTTTCTCTCTAACTCTGTCTCTCAAATAAATAAAATCTTTAAAAATTTTTAATTAAATAGCTTTTTAAATACCTTTTTACCTTTTTATGTGTTTTTATAATTTATAAGTAGGTTACAGGTATACTAATTATAAATAAATATACATTAAAAAGTTTCTCAAGATTGCTAGAACAAGTTTCTATTAGTTTCATACTGAAGAGGGAAAAAATTATCTGCTTCCTTAAAATAAAATAAGAGAGAATCTTGATCTCCTTAACATTTTCTAAATATTTTTTAACTTAGTGAAACATTTCCTAGCAGAGCAATATTATGCAAATATCACCCTGCACATATAAACATATTCATAATCCTCACAGTTTATTTTAAAGAGATTTCAGGGATCAGATACAGAACATATCTAAATGCAACATGCCTGATCTTTTAAAGTTTTGGCCTCACACTTAGGAAAGTACAGACATTGTATTATCTTGGTTAGCAGGCCGCGGTTGATCTAAGAAATTGAACGCAAAACAACCCCAATTTTTCACTAATTCCCTGCATCTGTCACTTTGAGATTCTGCTGCTTTTGCCACCAAGAGGCGCAGCTCATCCCCAGTCTGGTTTGATCCACAGAATGAGGGGCCAGCTCTGGGGGCCGGCGCTGTGGCACAGTAGGTTAATCTTCCGCCTGCAGTGCCAGCATCCCACATGGTGCCGCCAGTATCCCCATGTATCCTGGCTGCTCCTCTTCTGATCCAGCTCTCTTACATGGCCTGGGAAAGCAGCAGAAGATGGCCCAAGTGTTTGGGCCCCTGCATCTGCATGGGAGACCTGGAAGAAGCTCCTGGCTCAGGATCGGCCCAGCCCCAACAACTGCGGCCATTTGGGGAGTGAACCAACAGATGAAAGACCTTTCTCTCTGTCTTTCCCTCTCTGTCTATAACTATGCCTCTCAAATAACTAAATAATTTTTTTTAAAAAAAGAGAGGGGCCAGCTCTGAGTGTGGTGCTACAGCAGCCTGTACTCCTCAGCTCTCTCTCAGAAAACTGCATTGCTATTTGAACAAGCTAAAATAAATGTTTCTTGTCTTTAATGTGAACTTATTATAGTGACAAACTACTCTGGCTCTTTTTAATTGTTAAAGAACTAAGCCAGGTCAGATCCAGTGTCACACCTTAGGTCCCAGGCAAAGACTGAAAATCCAATGTGCAGCTACCTGTTGCTGACTGCAGGTGCACAAATGATCTCAACTACACAGAAGCTCTGAACAGCTCTATACACACAACAGCTAGACAAATGTGTAGCCTAAGCTGGTAATTTTGGGTGGTTTGTTACAGAGCACTAACTAACTAATGTAACCAATATAAAATTTAACAAGTTCTTGTATAAGTTTGTTGCCATTAAATGGGTTAATTACGTACCTAAAAATCTGCGAAGTTTCATCATATCTAAATGGAAGTACTCAATTAATCCATGAAGACTAAATAAATGAAAGGTTAAGCTTACTAGACTATTCCCTAAAAAGAAAAGAGATATTAATTAGTGGGAAATACAAGCTAACATGATTATAATATGCTTCCAATATGGATTTCTGAGTAAAAAACATGGAGAGAAGAGTACTAATTCCTTTTTGTTTACCTACCATTTATAGCTTCTGATTTTACCTGTTATGAATTTCAATGTAATATCTTTGCTCTACTCTTTAAGAAAAAGTAAATTTTTTGCTGTTTAAGCTTTCCAGAACCAAAGAACTGGAAGATAAACATTTTCAAATAAGCTAATTTTTTTAAAAGGCACCAAAATACGTCAGTAGCAGAAGACTGCAAAGTGCCCCCTGCTGAATTAGCTAATTTGACCTCCAACACACTTCTGTTCCATGCCCTCTTCTGCCTTGCTTAACTGACAAGGGCTGGCTCAGAGCACTCCGCCTCATGGGCAGCTTCAGGGGGCGAAGGCTGTGTTCATTCTTATCCACAGAGGACAAGGAGGATGGATCACTGGCTGCCTTCAGATCCTCTAGACTCTGAACTCAACCACTTGCCCTTTCCTTACTTGCAGCAGAGGATCTGCTTGTTGCTGGAGAAAGGAAGATTCACAGAACGGGCGGAACTCTACCACTATCGTTATGACCATACACCTTTTCTTTGTGCATGTACATATTCATTTTGCCTATCATCATTATCATAGGGTCCTCCCAAAATCTTTTTCCAAATTTAACAGATTACCAATTTGTAGGGTCTAAAATAAGTATTGAGAAATCTGAATCAAATAGCAAAATATCCTATTCTGGAATTCAGGCAAACAGCAGTAAGAGACACATGTAATGTCCCCAGAAAGAACCTTAAAGGAATCTGACGAGATCCAGTGTATTCAAATGTACTACCCATACAGAATTAGAAATGTTCAGGCAACATTTTTTCCCCCTTTTCAATTCACAAAATACCAACTGAGGATTTTTTAATACCAGTCAATAAAAACACAAGTCAAGAAAATATTTTTAAAACAACAGAAGTTAGTTGTGTTAAACAAAATGCAAGCACAGGGGCTGGCACTGTGGTATAGTGGGTTAAGCCACTGCCTGCTGCACCCATGTGGGTGCTGGTTTGAGTCCAGGCTGCTCCACTTCCGATCCATCTCTCTGCTGTGGCCTGGAAAAGCAGAACATGGCACAAGCCCTTGGGCCCCTGCACCCGTATGGGAGACCCAGAGGAAGCTCATGGCCCCTAGCTTCAGATCAGAGCAGCTCCAGCCATTGCAGCCAACTGGGGAGTGAACCAGCAGATGGAATACCTCTCTCTCTGCCTTTGTCTCTCTGTAACTCTGCCTTTCAAGCAAATAAATAAATCTTAAAGAAAAACAACAATAACAACAACAACAAAAAACCATACAGGCACAGAACTTTTTAAAATGGAAATAGATTTTTTTGGGGGGAAAAGAAAATTCAATTTATAGAAATTTATAGAAACACTACCCTCATAAAAATATACCAAAGGATATGACTGCCTAAGGCAAAGAAGCTCTCAATAGTCTTTGGAAAGTGGTCTTCACTAAGCACTGGCAAAATTAGGCTATGACTATGACACAGGCCTGGCAGCTGGTGTCTTGGCCAACCAAACAGCTTTCAGGGGTGATAAACTCTATCTTGCTGTTATCATATCATTCAACTCTCATCTCTGTAAAGAAAACTATTAAAAAATTACTTTCTTTTGTGGAGGCAAAAAGGTAGGGATCTGTACCTGTAACAAGGTAGGGGCCTGTACCAACAAGGTAGGGAATGCCTGTTACTTTGGTTATCTGTAGTTAACTGCATGTGTATTCACCACCTGCAAAATCAAGATGAGTGGCTAAGCAGTAGCAGTTTTTACTAGCTCCAAATGATCTGGAATCAAGCCCAAGAAGAAACCATTCAGCCACGTTCTCCACAAATTCAGTTCAAGGAGGAGGTTGTCAAAGGGAACACAGAGGGTCCATTTAACTCATGAAGGTTGCTGGCTGTTGCTGCTGTCCATCCTACACCACTCTTGGTATCAAGCCTCCTAACTAGCAGCACATGCACTTTTTAAAAATAAGATTTAGAGGAAGGGGAGAGGGAGTGGGAAAGGGGAGGGGTGCAGGTGGGAGTGAAGTTATGGGGCGGGGGGAGCCATTGTAATCCATAAGCTGTACTTTGGAAATTTATATTCATTAAAGAAAAGTTAAAAAAAAAAGATTTAGAGAACAATCGACTATTTCAACAAATGACAGGCATCCCAGTAGCCTAATTATAGGCTATGAGCTGTTAAGAGTTTATATAAGGCTAAGCCTTGAGGGTGGTAAGGGTGGCATTGTTTCGTCTATATTTATCTTGAGATAATAACTAAGGTAATATTTGTGTTGAGTTACGAAAGGGGAATTTCCCAATCAAACAGAAGGTGCCGCGCCTGATATTTCACTACCTATATTTTCAAGGAGATGGCCAACTGTGTAAAATGACGTTGGAACCTTTCTTGAACAGAAGGGTCAATGTGAGGGCAGGGTGAGGAACAGGACACTCTATCAGTGGGCGGGAATTAGAAAAAGAGTAGAACAAAAAGGCAGGGAAGCAGGGCGGATGGCTTTGCTGCTGAAGGTGACCGTCACCGTCTTCACCATTTGGCCAAGACCAGTCCAGTTTATTTTCTGTCAACAGTGAATAGACAAGCCCAAGGTGTGCAGAGAGAGAGTTTTTGCTATAAACTGGCTTACAGTGTAGAGGAAATAATGCAGTAATACTAGCAGATTTATACTGATTCCCAAGATAAAGCTGTATTCGCTTGCCTATTTTACATATTTGGTTCCCTTATGAAAGAAACTTTACTCCAAAGTGAAATAAGAAAAAAGCAGATGATTTCAAAGTATGACAATGAACCAAATACTCATTTCATCACTTTAAACTGCAGTGACTTCCAGTATACATTCTCATTTTGTTGAAGAGCTATGCAGACAAAAGAGGTACACACTGAATCACAGGTAGCACTAAGAAATAGGCCAAATATTTGATCCGAGGTAAAAAAATGATTCCCAAAGAGAATCTACTCCTGTTCCTAAACAGCACGGAAACTATAATTCCCAAAACAAAACTAAACTAAATACAAGAGGGGATAAGCACATCAGAATCACCTGTGGGCATATCTTTTAAAATTACCCCTACCCTGTAGATTCTGATAAATCCTCCTAAATTAGCTACAAACTCTTCCCCATTCCAGTGCCAGAGGGAACTAATGCTGCTGATCGTATCATGCCATCTCAGAAGTAAGCAAAGACAGGCCTGAGAGCTTCCCTCTCAGCAGGTAGTTGACCCACCATTCAATCTGGACTATCCCAACAGGAACACAACATCAAAAGACGACATCATAAAAGACCACAAGCGAAGGGCCAGTGCCGCGGCTCACTAGGTTAATCCTCCGACTGTGGTGCCGGCATCCCATATGGGCGCCAGGTTCTAGTCCCAGTTGCTCCTCTTCCAGTCCAGCTCTCTGCTGTGGCTTGGGAGGGCAGTAGTGGAGGATGGCCCAAGTGCTTGGGCCCCTGCACCCCATGGGAGACCAGGAGGAAACACCTGGCTCCTGGCTTTGGATTGACGCAGTGCACAGGCCGTGGCAGCCATTTGGGGGGTGAACCAACAGAAGGAAGACCTTTCTCTCTCTCTCTCTCTCTCTCTCTCTCTCTTTCTCTGTCTAACTCTGCCTGTCAAATTAAAAAAAAAAAAAAAAAGACCACAAGCTAAAAGAAACCAAATAAAAAGAAAAATGAAGAACATAATGAGACAATGATATTGACTTTGGGTTATTAATAATGCCAGCCATTAATCTGTCAAGTCTCTGTGATGAGCAGGAGGATTGGCTTTTCATTACTGCAAAGCGTTAATAATCAAAATGTAAAACTGAGACTAATTCTCAAGGTTTTTTTCTTTAGAAAAAGTCACTGCCGGAGCCGTGGCTCACTAGGCTAATCCTCCGCCTGTGGTGCCAGCACCCCGGGTTCTAGTCCCGGTTGCTCCTCTTCCAGTCCCGCTCTCTGCTGTGGCCCGGGAAGGCAGTGGAGGATGGCCCAAGTGCTTGGGTCCTGCACCCGCATGGGAGACCAGGAAGAAGCACCTGGCTCCTGGCTTCGGATCGGTGCAACATGCTGGCCGTAGCAGGCCACTTGAGGGGTGAACCAATGGAAAAGGAAAACCTTTCTCTCTGTCTCTCCCTGTCTCTCTCTCACTGTCTAACTATGCCTGTCAAAAAAAAAAAAAAAAAAGAAAGAAAAAGACACTAAAAAAAAGAGGACAAAATGACGCTCCCTATGCCTGCAGAGGGCTAATAACCTAAGTAAATGAAAAGCAACAACCCACTGGTGGCTCTACCATCAACACAGTAATCTAAGACTACATTAACTTGAGTAAGTCAAATTTTTCACTTACCATTTGTTAGTCTATCAAATAGAAAGATATCAAAATTCCAATTTCCAACTTTTTCAAGCATACACTGAAACAAAAACCAGACATTCCTACTGTAATTTAATTTCAACAACATTCTCTTTTTGCAAATAGTCCATATACAAGTTAATGAAAATTGAAAGTGATGGTTTAAGAAATACCAAGTATCATTCCCTTTTCAATCATGACTTCTTTAATCTCTAATTGGCATAAAAAATGTCCAAAGGGATAAATTTTATTTGGAAAAGGAAACATTATTTCACTTTTCAGTTAATGAATGTACAGGAAAGGGCAGTTTTTCTCAACTTACATCTACTTCTCTAGAAACTTTGAAGGATTCTAACGTAATTTAACATCACAGAAGTGGGATTCATATGTTGCATGACCTAGAACCTGCATCTTGAATCTTGCAACAACTGCTCTTAAAAGTTCTTGCTCTACTACTTACTGTATCACCAATGCTGTTATAAGTACTTTACTCACCCTGACTATTCACATCAAAACTGTTTTCAGCATTTATCTTATAGATGGGAAAGCAGGCAAAAAGTAAGAAAAAAGTGATAGATCTAGGATCTCTGGCATCTGATTTTGGAACCCAAACACTGACAGTGATGACATACCATGCTTAAATTGTCTGCTACTCATTCCTTAAAATACACTCCCAACTTCATTTATATTCTTTCAATTTCCTTATAAAATAATAGAATTTACTACATCAACTTTTAGGATGGTGTGCATGTCAGCCAAGCAAATGTATCCCACGAACATCCTGACATCCAAGTATTTTATACCACAGAGTCATAACCCGATTATTTTGGAGCCCTCTGTAAGAGAAAACTTATTTTGTACCCAAAAAATTCATCACTGTATACATTTATGAAAAAACTGACACAAGCAACACTATGATGCTACTAGTAGAGATTGTTAATTATGATAGCACTAATAACAACCAATGATACATAGGTCAACATTCTCATTCTAAAAAGCAAAACATGTAAAGTTGTTAAAATTTAAAGTATGAACACATTCCATTGATTTATTAAACAGGGAAGGAAATTTTTTCACTTTAATGTAATCATAAAGAAGGTACCTCAGCCACATCAACATAAACTTACAGAATCTGGTCTGTAAATACTAAGTCAAAGAATAAGTTAAAATACAATTAAAAATTTAAGATTATTAAAGATCTTCATCTGGTCAGAAACAAGCTCATTTAATCTTGACCTTCTCAAGACATCTTTAAATATGTCCCTATCAATAGAATACACACACTAGGTCAGGTAATCTCTATAGTGTTCCAAGCATTAGGAATCTGTGTGACCTTATAATGTTTTACTGGTCTGCATGTCACTTAATATTATAGTAAATGAAAATATTTTCATAATTTAGTTATTTCAGAAATGTTCCTTGTGCTGGCACACCTAATTGTAAAATGAACAGCTTCTATAAGGAAAAAAAACTAAAAATTGAGCTCAATTTTCAAAACCAAAAAAAAGAGCTTCAGTAAATCTATCAAAATACTGTTTTCTTGAAAAGTTGCACATACCTTGGCTTGTCCATTGTAATCATCATCTAAAATGTTTAGAGAACTTGAAACAGTAGTACCACGAAAAAAGCGTGAAGATCTAAGATATCGCTGGAAACTTAGTAACCTCCTGATATTCCTTGCAGAGACAGATACTTCAATCTCAGATTGAGCTGAAATAAGAGGAGTGACAGGTGAGAACTGCAAGTCACAAATGGGCATATGCCATTTCAACAATACTTCTCTTAGTTAGGAGCAAGTATGTTCAAAAATTCATTCTTCACTAAACCATATTCCTAGGAGAGAAGAGAAGGTTATTTTATTTCTATTTTCAATTGAAGAATTAAGATTGAAAGGAAAATAGCCAATTTCGACAACATTCAGAAACATAATGAAGACTGTGGCTGCTTAACAATCTTTTTTTAACTTCCAAGAACTCTGACCTCTCACTTGATCACTCTAACACATTATTCATATATAAACATGGAGCAAAAACACACAAAAAATCTAGTTTCAAATTACTTGAAAGCGAGGTTCCAAGTTGCATGATATTTTTAACAATCACACAACTAAAACATCTTCAACTTTAATGACCTCTATCATTTCAGATATTTCATTAAGATAATATTACTTAGAGGAAAAGGAGATGGAATGGGGAATGAAGTGCTTTAAAGAATAAATAAAGGTTTTTTTTTTAATAAAGGTTTTAAAGGACAGGAATAAAATTCCATAAAGTTTAAAAAAATAAAAAAAAAAAACTCTACAAAAACATGTGGTTTTTTCCCCTTGGAGACAAACAGGTTCTTGCAGTGAGTCTAACATAACCTTTTTTTCCCTCAAGTGTTAGAATAATCTGGTTTCTTCAAACACCAGATGAAATAGACTTGGTTATAAAAGCAATCTTGTAGGGAATATATATATATATATATATATACACATATATATGTATATATATATATCAGTTACCTTAAATTCTAGAATAAAAGCTAATTTGTAAAATATTCAAAATATAAACACACAAAAATTAAGATGAAGGATCAACCAACTGTCATCTCTCTACTTAACTTCCAGTAACTTAGAATCCCCAGGGGGAATGGTAGCTAAACAAACACATTCTCTCCTGTGTGTCTAATCACTCATTCTTCGATCAACCTCCACTACCTGGTTTGCCTTGTCTATAAAATAACGGCGATTATATCTAATTCAACAGATACTCAATTAAATGAGATAATGTACAGCAGGCACTAAATAAATGATAGCAATGCAAATGATGGTAACACTGATGTGAATTCCTCTGCTTAAAGGTAGTTCTCCTAAATTCAAATACTGCTGATGCTGCTCTAAAGAAAAGCATTCCATGGCTCCTCATCATCTTACTAGGAACTCCATCTCCTTAGCCCGGAAGAGAACATGTTCCAGGATATGGCTCTCTGCAGACCTGAGGCATTACCTCTCCTGGGAAGTAGACCTTAAGGCATGCTCCCTCAGTACCTCTGTGAGTTCGCAAAGCTCTCTATGCATTCACCAATTACAGCACTTCTGACTTTGAAATACACTGGTATCTCTCTGGTTCCTTTAACAAATGACAACATTCAATATAGACACGAGCTATTTTTTAATCTCCATATTCCTGAGTCTAACAATAGTGTCAGGTATATAGTAGATAACTGTAAAATACACAGAATCCAAGCATACTGTTCTTGAAATATCTGTTGAGTTTTGAGGTTCCCATATATCCAAATAAACCAGAAGTAAAATACCACACAGTAATGTAGTTTACTCTTCATTTTTTTCACTGCAGTAAGTAAAATATGAAATATGTAGAAAGATAACAGAGTTAAATTTCTGATTTTATCAAAGTAATATACAAGAACTAGAACCAAAATGATAAAGTTATTAATATCTACTGATGGTGTTTACATTAGAACCAAGTCTGTTAGAGGAAATGAGGATAGACTAAACTCTGTGAAAGCAACACTCCAAGCACTTGCAAAATGCATCTCCTTTAGTCATCAACTTCAAAAGATAAATATTATCCTCCACTTCACACATGAGAACACTGAACCTACAAGAAAATAATTTCCCAAGGTCAACAGCCAATACAGGATGAACTGGGATTAAAGAAAAAAAATCTGCATTTATAAAGGCTATGTACAGTACTACTCATAAATTTTTTTATTGTATCTCTACAGGGCTGTTTATTGCTTATTATCCAAATAAGACATTTCACAGTTTTACTAAAGCATGTTCACACCCACTATCCATTTAGCAATCACTACAATACTGTGAAGATCATCATCCTAGTTTTATAAATATAACCTTATAAAGCAAGGTGGAAACACAATACAATCAATATATTAGAAGGCCGGCGCCGTGGCTCAATAGGCTAATCCTCCACCTTGCGGCGCCGGCACACCGGGTTCTAGTCCCGGTTGGGGCGCCGGATTCTGTCCCGGTTGCCCCTCTTCCAGGCCAGCTCTCTGCTATGGCCAGGGAGTGCAGTGGAGGATGGCCCAGGTGCTTGGGCCCTGCACCCCATGGGAGACCAGGAAAAGCACCTGGATCCTGGCTCCTGCCATCGGATCAGCCCGGTGCGCCGGCTGCAGCGGCGGCCATTGGAGGGTGAACCAACGGCAAAAGGAAGACCTTTCTCTCTCTGTCTCTCTCTCTCACTGTCCACTCTGCCTGTCAAAAATAAAAAAAAAAAAAAATAAAAATAAAAAATAAAAAAAAAGTAAAAAAAAAAAAATATATTAGAGCCAAGGCACACAGAAAACTGCTAATAAATGCAGCAAAATACATGTACTCTATTCATTCCAGAAAACAGTAAAGAAGACTTCAAGGTCATGAGTATTCTTTTTGATTTATCTGAAGCTACACACAAAAGTAACAATTTTATTACTGGCAATTACATTGCAGTGTGAGTGTGTGTGTGTGTGTGTGTGCATGCACTAACAGAAGGATCACTGCTTTCAAATTATCGTGTCCAAACTAACAAACCCCTAAAGTAAATTTGAGAATTTCTTTAGAGGACACCTGCATAAGGTTCAAAAAATGAGTTGGTTTTATTTGATCGGAAAACCCCAACGGTCTAATCCAGTGTGCCAAGTCTCTGTATCAACACAGCAGGGTTCACGCTGTCAACTGTTAAGTCACCTGGTGCTAGCCCAGGGCCAGGCCCTACCCATAAAATCAGGGTCATGTCCTCCACTGCCTAATTCCCATTTTCCAGGTGACATCTGACAAGTCACAACCTCCTGATGTCTCATTTTCTTTAGCTAAGAAAATTCACGTCTTTTCCCTGGTTCACAGAGCCCCGAAGTTACTAGTCATGAATGACTACCAGGCACTGACTCAAGGCGACATGCTCATTTATCATAGGAACCCAATGCCTTCCAGTGAGACTAAACCCATAAACAAACCTGCACAACAGAATAAGAAACAGACCTGTATCTAATGATACAGAACCAGCCTTAACAATTCGTGACTATTTCCCAAACTTAACAAGGACAGAGAACTTGCCTATATGAAACAGCAGATCACTCAGAAAAACTGCTTTATTCCCCATGAGCCCTGAGGACCTCACACAGGAGTCTTGTACACAACAGATTTATAGTCTGCAGTGGCCAGAAAAATGCAATGGGACCTTGCAGACAGGCCAACTAAAGCTGCCACAATCAAAGACTTAATACAGGACCAGAAGTTGGGGGCATATCTGGCTTGTTTTGTCATTTATACAATTCTTGAATATGCAACACTTTACACGTCCAGGAAGGAGCACAGGAAAGGTAGGAGGGAGATACAGAGTGGGAGAGACCTCAGGGAGGGAGGGAGGGAAATAACAGTGCAAATCCTCACCTCCAGCCCTGTCTCCCCAGCCAGTCGACACTCAAACCCTCTCCTGCAATGATAATCTTTTTCTTCAAGTTTCAATTGTATCCTTACTGAGTTTTTAAAAAGCACGCGGTTCAACAGGCTAATCCTCCGCCTGCGGCACCGGTACACCAGGTTCTAGTCCTGTCACCCCTCTTCCAGTCCAGTTCTCTGCTGTGGCCCAGGAGTGCAGTGGAGGATAGCCCAGGCCCTTGGGCCCTGCACCCACATGGAAGACCAGGAGAAGCACCTGGCTGCTGCCTTCCGATCAGCGTGGTGTGCCAGCCACAGCATGCTGGCCACAGTGGCCATTGGAGGGTAAACCAACAGTAAAGGAAGACCTTTCTCTCTGTCTCTCTCTCTCTCTCTCTCTCTCACTGTCCACTCTGCCTGTCCAAAAAACAAAAACAAACAAACAAAAAAAAAGGTAAATCTTGGAAACACCATTATGTATTTTTTTTTATTTGACAGAGTCACAGATAGTGAGAGAGAGAGAGACAAAGAGAAAGGTCTTTCTCCGTTGGTTCACTCCCCAAATGGCCAGCGTGCTGCTCCAATTCAAAGCCAGGACCCAGGTGCTTCTTCCTGGGCTCCCATGTGGTGAAGGGGCCCAAGGCTCCACTGGCTTCCCAGGCCACAGCAGAGAGCTGCACTAGAAGAGGAGCAACTGGGACTAGAACCCAGCACTCACATGGGATGCCGGTGCTGCAGGCGGAGGATTAACCAAGTAAGCCACGGTGCCGGCCCCATGTATTTTTTAAGGTTTATTTATCTATTTGAAAGACAGAGGCAGAGACAGAGAGGTCTTCCATACGCTGGTTCACTCCCCAGATGGCCGCAATGGCCAGAGCTGTGCTGATCCGAAGCCAGGAGCCAGGTGCTTCCTCTGGGTCTCCCTTATGGGTGTGAGGGCCCAAGGACTTGGGCCATCTTCCACTGCCCTCCCAGGCCATAACAGAGAGCTGGATAGGAAGTAAAGCAGCTGGGACTTGAACCAGCACTCATATGAGATGCCAGCACCACAGGCATAGCTTTACCTGCTATGCCACAGCACCAGCCCCTCCATTATGTATTATTTTCTTTTTTTTTTTTAAAGATTTATTTTATTTATTTGAAAGACAGAGTTACAGAGAGAGGTAGAGCCAGAGAGAGAGATTTTCCATTTGTAGGTTCACTCCCCAGATGGTTGCAATGGCCAGAGCTGAGCTGATCTGAAACCAGGGACCAGGAGCTTCTTCCGGGTCTCCCACGCAGGTACAGGGGCCCAAGTACTTGAGCCATCTTCTATTCCTTTCTCAGG